AAGGGCGTGTCAAAGGTCATGGATGAACACAACAGGTGAGGCCACTCAGGTAAACATTTAACCATTTCTCTTCTTTTTGTCAATGCTAGGTCTCTCAATCATGCTTTCTATACGATCTAAGGGAAGGGTAGGATAACCTATTAACGGAGAAATGTCGATTACCATTTAAAAAGTATGCATGTCAACCAAAAGACTGTCTGAATGAGCTCTGTGAAAGTGTAAATACTCAAGGACCCTAATAATTATCTCCAATCAGACGTTGGATTGACAGTAATTAAGCTGTCTGAAAATCCAGACAGTCACCCCAAGGCATGATTTCAGAGATAATCCGAAAGAGAGAGTGGAGGTGGTTGAGAGACCATTAATTTTGAGAGGCCAAGACAATTGCATTGGCAGATTGCCTGTCACTGATCACTATTAATATAAGTATCATTAACTGATCTCCAAGGTTTTTCAATGAACTTTCACTTTCAGTGAATGCTATAATCACCAATATTAGCCTGGATGCCAGACCCATGCTTTTGCATGGGGCAAAAGTACCTAAGTAACGGGTTCCTCCCTCAGTACTCGGTGTTCAGTACTGAAGGTGCCCTCCGAACTGAACTTCCAGTTCGGAAGTTCCGTCAGAACTGGGCGTCCAGATGTGAGGCGACTTCAGAACTGGAAAACTCTGAATCAGTTCCGGAAACCGAGAAGTGAACGTTCCTTCCGTACTGGAAAACGAGTTACAAAAGAAATTCCGCACTGGAAACCGAGTACTGGGAACGTATGTTCATTTTCGAAAGTATGGTTACTTCACATTGCTATATCAACGTACGTATATTGTGTTTTTTTTACGTTTGTACCTTGAAGCGTTCAGCCAGAGCGTCGATAGAGAGAAGGGTAAAACACTTCCGGGGCAAAGGAAGCTTCAGTACTGGAATAACGCCGTTCCGAACTGGAATTCTTGCGCTCTTGCCTGTGTGAGTTGTGACTCACTGAACCCCCTACCTGCCAGTAACACGAGACGCCGCAGAGGACACAGTCAGCAGTACCAGCAGCTGTCCTGCCGCACGAACTACCGCTTCTACTCCTTCCTCCCTCGAACGATCAGAGACTGGAACTCCCTGCCTGAAGACATTGTACAGTCTCCATCCCTGGCGACCTTCGTTTCGAAGGTGTCAAACCTTGCCTAAATCACATACTACTAGTATATGGTGACCTTTGACCCGTTAAACATGTCAGTAATTGCCGGAGTGACGGCAGCCGGACATTAACGGAAGAAGAAGAAGAATTCCAGTTTAGAGCTTTCTTCAGAACTGGGCGCCGAGTATCAACGCTATTTTCTCCACGGTTTCCGTACTGGGCGCCCAGTAAGGAACCCGTTACTTTCGTACCTCATGCTTGGTCCAGCATGCGTAATTAATAACTGGGAGAGGGGCAGCAGGGGGGTGTAATAATAACTCTGGGTCTAGCATGCTATGGGTCTGGCATCCAGGCTGGTGATTATAGCATTCACTGAAAAGTGAAAGTTCATTGAAAAACCTTCAAGTTGGAGATCAGTTTATAATAGTGATCACTGACAGTCAATTCGCTGCAAAGTGAAAGTTTCCAGGACCTACACATGCTGGCACCCAGCAGGTTATAACATCATAGTCAGCATGTCCACAGAACATACAGTACTTTTACCTTACCCTTTGCTGGCCGGGACAATCGCTCGTATGCTAGTGCCATTAGAAGCATGACAGTGCTAACTAATAGTAAAAACAAAAGAAGGTTGCAAAACCCAACACGAATTCAGAGACCATAACATGTTCAGGATAAAAGATACTGGAAGTTCTTCTGCAGTACCAAGGTCAGCCACCAGGAGGCTCAAATGTGACCTTGACCTCCATCATCCTATGATCTACCCACATACCAAATATCATCACAATCCATAAAGGCCTTCTTATGTTATGCCGACCACAAGTATGCCGAAACACAGACAGACATGCACACACACACACACACACAGACCAAAAACAATACCTACATTTTCATGTAGGTAATTTAATATTTCATGTATCTCTCTGAAGACGTGCTGAGGAACAGCCCGGAGGAGAGCCATGCCTCCTAAGAAGTGCAATCAGACAAAGGTGATGAGGAACCACCGAGAACATCACAAACCTCCAGAGTCTGCCACCATGAACTCTAATAACGACTCAAAAAGCTCCAATCTCGGCCTCCAAGTCAAGAAGAGGAAAACGACCATCGCGACCCTGGCAGAAGCGGAGGAAGAGAGCATGCTAACGTGGCTGAGAGAACATCCCGAGTTGTACAACAAGAAGGCAAAGGAGTATAAGAATTTGCAGAGGAAGGAGACACTGTGGCAGGAAAAGGCATCGGACATGGGAAGGAGCGTGGAGCATCTCCAGACTTGGTACAGGAGCATGAGGACACGGATGGCCAGGCTGCTGAAAAACAAGTCTGTGGAAGAACTGACCGACAGGGACACTTGGGTGATGGAAAACTTTACTTTCCTCCGGAAGCACATCGAAGCGGTACACAGGGGGAGGGGACCAATGAAAAGAGTGAGTATCTTCATCTTCCTAGCCTGGTTACCAGAACTATTATAGTTCCCGAGTCCTACATCCTCTGATGTAGGACTCGGGAGCTGTAATAGGTCTGGTAGCCAGGCTATCATCTTGCTACTGTTGTAAAATTTGACTTGTTACAGTACAACTTATTATCATATTTCAATGAAAAAAGAGTGAGTAGCTTAATTTTCCTTCAGTTGAAAATTTCTCATGCGACATTTTTTCGTTCCTAGGCCTAATTGCATTGGATGTCTTTAATGAAATGGTACATTTTCAGATTGCTCAGGGACCGGGTCCTCCGGTGAGCCAGGGTACGCTGGACCCGGTCACAAACCACATCCTGCTGATGCAGCAGCAGCTGATGGAGCGGCTGCAGCCGCAGGGCGACCAGGAGAGACTCGGGTTCGCCGAGTGGGTCCGAGCGACGCTGGTCAGCCTGCAGCACGACGTGTGGCGGCGCGCCCAGCGGGACATCATCGACGT